GGCCCCTCTTCGAAGGCCTGTGAATTGGCATTTTGCAACCAGCCTCACCCCTCTCTATCAGTGGGGTGCTTCAACGCTCAGCGTAGATCTCTTCACTCTCATCCCTTCAATTCACCCAGCTTCATGCAACAGCCGATCTTGGGAAATAGGTTCAGGAAACACACATTGAACATGCATGGAACTTCACCGTCTGGAGGAAGTGCTGACCCAGCTACACAGCAAAAGAACTGGCTCTGTGCTTTGCAGCATGTAGTGATCGGAATGCACCTAATCGCACAGCATCCGCAGCACAAGCATGGTGTATTTGTCTTGCAGCAAACATCAGCCTCCAAGCAAAGCAATGTCTCCTGTGCTGCGCAGCCGATGTTGTTGAACTCGGGAATGCAGCCATCATAGCAGCAGCAGCAAGCACTGTGCACAACGACCTTGGTCTCGTCAATGGAGTCCATCTGCACTTGCCTTGGAGCTGACATGTCTTGCCAACCTCGGGTGTGCAGTTTCGTTTCATGGTTGTCTGACAGGGTGGAACCAGAAAAAAAACATGAAAGCACAATACAGCTAGAGTTTTTCTTACCGTCTTTAGGCAAAGGAACCAAAAGTCTGGATGCTGTGGATTCTTGACCGGGCTGCCAAGTTGCTCGAGCCAAAACGAATGCACATGAAAGCACTAAGTGCGCGAAGCACAGCGTGACTATTTGATCATATGACGATATTTGATCACTATTATCACTTTTGTGATCTTTGTGGTTGCAGAATGCGTCACGACACAACAGCTACTTGCCCTTTTTGTTCTGGACCAATAAGTCCCAAAATGCCAGGAGAAAGCCGGTTATACCAGTTGCTAAACGGAGCAATCCGCAAGGGGATGCACACTTGCCAACCAGTTCACACGGCAAAATCTCTCTCGCTAGACCAGCAGTCCAGCAGCAAAGCCTGCAAGGACTCTTGCCTTGAAACTGCTTATTACCCGTACTGTGAAATTGAACATACATCAAAATACGGCAAAAATGGGCCCCTCTTCGAAGGCCTGTGAATTGGCATCTTGCAACCAGCCTCACCCCCTCTCTATCAATGGGGTGCTTCAACGCTCAGCGTAGATCTCTTCACTCTCATCCCTTCAATTCACCCAGCTTCATGCAACAGCCGATCTTGGGAAATAGGTTCAGGAAACACACATTGAACATGCATGGAACTTCACCGTCTGGAGGAAGTGCTGACCCGGCTACACAGCAAAAGAACTGGCTCTGTGCTTTGCAGCATGTAGTGATCGGGATGCACCTAATCGCACAGCATCCGCAGCACAAGCATGGTGTATTTGTCTTGCAGCAAACATCAGCCTCCAAGCAAAGCAATGTCTCCTGTGCTGCGCAGCCGATGTTGTTGAACTCGGGAATGCAGCCATCATAGCAGCAGCAGCAAGCACTGTGCACAACGACCTTGGTCTCGTCAATGGAGTCCATCTGCACTTGCCTTGGAGCTGACATGTCTTGCCAACCTCGGGTGTCAAGCACGCATATCTTCCATCGTGTGTATATTTGCCCCTCGCAAGGCCTACTGTAATTGACGGTGTTTGGTGCACTTTTTGCGAGCCTCTATGGAATGGTGCGGGGGCACCGTATATATATATATAAACTCAACTGACTCCTTTGCAATGCGCGCCGCAGTTGGATCATAAGAAATGTAAAAACAATGGTGCTTTCAACAGACTCACGTCTTCCTAAAGACGATAGGGTGCCTCGACCCTTAGGGGCTCAGTAGGTCACTTCTCCGCCAAGCCGAAAGAAGAGACCTACCCGCCTATGCTTTCCCCAAGTCTCCTGCCATACCAAGAGCTTGGAGCCAAGCTTTTCTTAAAACAGAATCTGTTAAAGAAAGAAAAACTGCCCCTCCCCTTCCCCTCTTTCCACGTTCCCCCTTTTCTGCACTTCTTGCGCGTGCTCAAGTGGGCTGGTCGTGGAGGAGTCTTCTGACTGTGAAACAGTCGAGAGAAAGGTAGTAGGGCTTTACTTGGGAGCTTCAAGTCATGAAGGATGGCCAATCCTTCGTTTATGTAGATGCGAGCTGTTCGAGCTGCTTGCCATCGACCTGCAATCAAAAGTTTGTCAAAGTTTCCGCGCTTTCCAAACCAGAACGTGGCACCCCCTCGCCTTAGAGAGTATGGTCGGAATTCCAACAAAGTGAGTTGCAGAGCTTCCAAGGAGGTTTTAAACATTCGCCTCCACTCATGAACTTTTGGACACAGGTGGGTCTTGTTCGTCTGGCTGGCCTTCCATTGCCAGAGCCGTTTGAGCGCACGACCCGCATGGTGACCGATTCTGCTGCCCTGACTTAGTCAACCCTAACGAAAGAATAACAGCTACAGACTTAGGCCCATCCATGGTCATGTCCTGGAAGAAAGGAGACCCCGAATCCGAAGTGGCCATGGAAAAAACTCCATCCTACCACGGCAAAGAGCGCTTGCTCGGATTTGGGACTTCCTGGGTGCGCCAAGTTTTCAACAACCTCCACATGTGAGGAAGCTGACCTTTGAGTTTGGGGTCTAAATCCTGGAGGCCGGCAACAGTATCCGAGGCCAAACCTCGGCCCTCACCTTCCGACCACAAGAACTCGATGTACTCGGATAGCAGTGGGTCACAAAGGTCACGACGCCGTGGAACCACCAGGTTGTTGCGGGCAAGGAAGTCACAGAACTGTGTGCGTTCCTGTGAGTATCACTGCTGTGTTTTCTCTGAGACTGTCAACCCTTTCAAAAGCCCAAGGGCCTGGCGCTGCCTTTTGCTATCTTCCTTGGTATGACCTTCAAGAAACCTGCGTTTCACTTGAGCACTTTTTAGCGTACAGGGCGCCGGCTGGGGCGATCAGCCGGGTGCTGTGACGTATGGATGTAACCCCAGAGGGGGTGAAGGTCTGCCGCCAGAAGACAGGAATTCAACTGCGTGATAATCGGTCTCAACTTCCGACTGGAACTTCGCCCACGTGAAAGCGAGTGCCAGCACACTAAGCTATCGGTGAGATGCAGGAAACGTATGCCACACGCTTACGCCTCCAGATCTTCTATTTCACAGAGGTGAGTATGGCACGCATCTCCAGGGCGTTGACGCGTTCGCCACTATGTTTCCTCTTCCAACCAGCGATCTCACGCCGCTTCCAGAGGCGCTCGGGTACACTAGCACGCGTGTCGAAAAGACTTCGGTGCTGGGTCGCTACTGCTTTGCACCATGATGTCCTCGCCTTTCATTGGGGCTGCTTGTTGACGTCCATGGAGGGGGCACTCCCGCCAGGAGTCAGCTCATCGACTATGGCTTGCACTCCCGAAATCTTGGCAAGTCCTAGCGGCCACATCAACTGTCCACTGCTGTTTCCCGGGGGTGTTAGCCGCTGGTCTTCATAACGCTTACCTTTCTGCTCATGCTTGGGGACGGAGTTCTTTGTCTAGTTAACCGGGAATTCCATGCACACTTCCCGCTCTTGTTTATCTGGGAGACTGGCCTCCCCGTTTGCTCCACTCGAAGTAGTGAAGGTAGGGAGACACGCTTGCTCCATCATGCTCCATCTCCTTTGGATCTCTTGACCTTCTTGTAGGTCCTGACAATGGGGCCCCGCTCCACCCAGGTGGTGGGACAGGTGGCTCCTTGTGGATTGGTAGTCGGACTGTGGCTCTTCCTCTTGTTCTGATCTCCCACCCTCTCTGGCCCCGGGAGACCCTGCTTGTCCTTCCAGACCTTCAGGCTCTGGGGTCTTGGTAACTCCTCTAGACGGCGATCTCTCAGGCCTCTGCTTCTTCTCCCTTCCGCTGTCTCTCTTCTTCTTATTGTGCTTTCCCTCTCGGCGGGCTGAACGGCTCCTCTGTCTTCGCTCCTTCCTGCTTGACCTCAACCGGGAGACCTTCGTCTAGGTGGGGGTGGCAACCCAGCCTTGGGTGATGTAGGAGCTGCCGGGTTCCAGCTCCCGCTGATCCAGGAGTGCTCAGTTCAGGATATCTGAGTTGGTGCGAGGCCTCAAGGATCCCGATGTAGCAACTGCTCAAAGGCCCCAGCGCTCGTTCCCGCAGTGTGTCGTCAGATCCAGGGCCGTAGACCAAGTCTTGCAACTTGCCGAAGACCTTGCAGAACTGACACGCACGCCGCCGGAACTCGTGAGAATCTGAGGCTCCCGAGGACCCAGGAGTCTCAGCCATTCAACTGAGAGCCAGAACACTGCAATTGAAAAAACACGTCATTTCGTTTTACCTACGAAGCGAAGGATCATAGGGCGCGCGCGGGACGCATGCGAAAGGAACAACAACAATTGATAGCGAACACGCGCCCAAACGGCATCGCCGGTCTGCGAAGCTCTACAATCTATCAAATTCAATTCAATCATTGTCTGTAGATTGTGAATACCTACAACACGCCAAAAAGGTGGCCATATTGGCTTTGCCTCTCAAAGTGGAAAAGGCTTTGCATGAAAGAAACGAGAACCAGCAAAGGTCGGCAATCGCAAAGTTGAAGTCCGCAAAAGGGCTGAGCCAAAATGCTTGTCAGACCGACAGTTTGCTGCTAGAACTGGCAGGCATCAACCCTCTCTGGCCTTTTTAAATCTACCTTTGCTGGATCATAGTGTGTCATACTCGTTTCTGGTAGGAAACTGTGCATGAGTAATTGCCATGACTTTGTGTCGACTAAGCACTCTGCAAAAGCAATTCCGCAAAAGAAATCCGCAAGCACCTTTGACACTCCAAGATTCAGCTCCGATGCAGTATTCGCATCACTCGACTACCTTCTGCTGACAAACCTTTGGCAGAATTGAGTCCTCTTTCAACAATCAATGCGGTAAATCACTCTGAATCGCTGCTGCTCGCTTCGTGCATTTCACCCAGCTTCACACAGCAGCCGATCTTGGGGAATAGGTTCAGGAAGCATACATTCAACATGCACGGGACTGAACCGTCTGGAGGAAATGCCGATCCGCCCACACAGCAAAAGAACTGGCTCTGCACTTTGCAGCATGTAGTCAAGTCCACACATCTAAAAGCGCAGCATCCGCAGCACAAACACGGTGTGCGTGTTTTGCAGCAAATATCAAGTTCCAAACATAGCAACGTCTTTTGTGCTGCGCAACCACACTGGCTCAGCTCCGGTATACAGCCGTCGTAACAGCAGCAACAAGCATGGTGCACAACAACCTTGGACTCATCAATTGAATCCATTTGATGCTGCCTGGGGACCGCCATGACATACCACTCTGGCTACAACCTGCAAATGAGCCACAATCCGCGTGCAAACTCCTGCGAACAGCGACCATGCCACGTCACACGTTTATTCCATGTACGGACCTATTTAAAAAGAAAGACTCCGAGCCTCTGCTAGTCGAGGCCGTTTGAACCTCGGCAAAGCGCTGCTTTTTTTCAAACAAATGCTGGCATAAATGACTGAGAAAGGCAATGCTGGAATCGGCAGGCTCCGACTGTTTAGGCAGCTCTCCAGTTGGTCTTCCACCTCCATGCGGCACGAGGAATCAGGATGGTACGAAGTCGATTCGAAGCAAGAAGCTACTAGTAGCAAGGTGCATCGCTACTAGCAGCAAGGCACCTATTCCTTACTTGTTCCTGTATGCATCGCTTTCATTCACTTTCTCTCCCCACCTCGTCTACCTAAAGTCTGCATACGATCCCGCATTGTGGGTGGTTCTCGCTGATGCATGAGCTGGCGCTGTGCTGCATCTGATGGATCTGGCTCCAACAAATGTCCTGGGAAGTCCTCAGGGCAAAACGTGCTAATGAGATCCAATACACAGGTGTAAAGTGCTAATGAGAAGCAATACACGGGTGTGCTACAAGGCAAAAACAACACGACGTCTGTGTAAGACAGGTGTGGCTTCCAAGAAGCAATTTCTTCTCCACTCTTCAACTGCTCTATCAAAGCCGTGGTCACCTGAAAGCACTTTGTCTAGAGTTCTCAAGCCCATCCAACCTACTAGCGATGGCCTCCAACCTACGTAACAGTGAGAAGTTGACTTTATGAAGGCAAGAAGAACAGCACTTCAAAAGTGCTTGTAAGATCTTGTAAGAACAGCTGGCACGTCAAAAAACAGATATGACTTGCTTCTTCCCATCTTTTCGGTTCCCAAATGGTTTTGACTTGCCTAAAGGACACAGAAATCATATGAGATCACGCCCTTCCCGCACTGCATCTGGGGCCACTGCAGTCTCCTCATCCAGCTTGCGGCCACTTGCGTCACAGAGCACGGCACGGCCCGCATTGAGCCGCAAAAGACCCTCCCGGCGGATAGGACGGCGAGCCACCTCAAAGGCATCGAAGTGAAGTGGAGACGTATGAAGCAATAAGAAACACATTCAAGCAACGATGGCCTCCAACCTACTAGCGATGGCCTCCAATCTAGTAGCAATAGAACCACATTCAAGTAACTTCAAGTATATAGTTGAATAATGTCGAAGAAAAACACTTACAACATGGAATTAAACCCGTTAAGGCCTTCTGGTGTGTGTACAGGACAGGAATCACAGCCTGCAACTCCCAGGTAGACCTGCAAAGATGCGGGAAAACCACCACAAAACATGGCAAAACAAGAACTTGTGAAGTGAAGAGAACTGCATTCGCAACTCATGTTGCACCTTGGACGTGCCATGGCAAAATACACACTCACAACCCAACATCCATCTGTGATCTTCAATATGAGTGAGGTGAGTCTGATCGTTCTTGTGACAAAAGAAGCGACTGCGGTGCTTTCCACAAGACAAAAAAGAGCAACGGTTGGGTACCATCTCTTGCTAATCAATGGCTGCGCAGGAAGAACCAACGTCACGTCAGGGAAAAACAACACATGGATTTCACATCGGCTTTCTGTTGATCAAATGAAATCCCCATTTGCATTCAATACAATGTATGCTGTTTTGATTCTTCACAAGTAGGTGCTTCACAAATCGGATTGAAGGTTGTATTGTGCTGCTTTTTGGCACTTCAGTGTGTCACCGGCCGAGATCTTCACTCTTGGTTTCGAACAAGTTGTCGGTTTGGCGCTGAATGGCGCTGAGTTTCGCAAAGAGAAACTTGGGCAATCTAGATTCATAAACTCCACGTCGAGCGATCCTCATCTTCTGTAAGACTGTCACGCAGTCCACTGCCGTCTGCTGCTCCGCCATGCTCCGCCATGCTCCGCCCCTCTCTCCTTGTCGAACAAGTCTTGTGCATTTGCATCTTCCGCTCCCGTCCGCTTCCTCGAAACATTGATCAAAGCTCCTGGTGCCGTTGACACGTCGACAGAGGAAAGTCGCAATACCTTCAAGCACACTGCGGTAATCCCTGTCACCCATATCCCGCCATCATCTCCCGCCACTCCTGACTTCTCACCAAGTCATCCTGAGAGAAACTCAACCCTCAAGAAACTTTTTTGCTAATGACCGATTTAAAGCCCTCAGACTACCCTTGTAAAAAGGTGTTTTTCCTCGAACGGGTTTATCCGCAAGGGGTTTTTACTCCTTTGAGATGGTTGCATGCCCGGGCCGCATGATTTTACATTTGTCTCCGGGCTTGCGTTTCTGCCGCACTGCTTTGGCCGAACGATTTTACAGTTGTTTCCCAGTACGCTCGTCTCCTTGTCTTCCTTGCCTCCAATACACTCTGGGCGCTCTGGCGGCATGATTGTACACTTGTTCCCCAAACAGGTTTACCTGTGTGGGGTTCTTATACTCTGTTTAAAGGGTTGCATGCCTGGGTCGGATGATTTTGGCTCTGTCTCCGGGGGCGTTTCCTCTGCCTACTCTGGATACACTTGGCCGGATGTTTTTACACTTGTCTCCACTTGCCTCTTTGCTTACTCCCTGCTTAGACGCTCTTGGCCACATGACTTTACACTGGTCTCAGGCTACCCTGGATACACTTGGCCAGAGGTGTTCCCTACCTCTCTCCTGGTTAGATACTCTTGGCCTTGGCCGGATGCACTTGTCTCTTTGCTTGTTTCCCTGCTTCGATACTCTCGGCCGGGTGATTTTACACCTGTCTCCCACTTGTCTCCCTGCTGGTCTTTCTGCTTGTCTCCCTGCTTGTCTCACCTCACAAGTTCAAGGTGGGTTGAAAGCTTTTGACATCTTTTACCGAAACAATGCATGATAAAGCAACATGTCAGTACAACTCAGCATGTTCAATAGATTTGCGTATGTTCTGTTTTTGTCTGAATTGTCGGTCCTGACCTTGAGCCAATTGAGCCGAGCGCTGAAACAAGCCCAGAAGGTCCGAGTTGGTCACCACAAGTTGGAATGGTTTGAGCCGTTGACTGTTTGACAGTTGGGTCTGGGATATTAGAGTATGCCAGCTGCTTAGTTTTCTCGCTCGGTTACCCGGTTGAGTTGAGTCAACACCTTCACAGTTTACAAAGGATCAAAGAAGAAATGACAAATGGAAAGTATTAGCCTAGGGCCTCCCCCAAAAGTATGTTGTTATTTCTCTTACCAGCCCTTTACTTCCTTTTTTCATCTCCTTCTCTTCTGTAAAGAAAAGCTTCATTTTTGTATACTGTAGTTTTGTCTGTCTTGGGCGTTCGGAATCCCTTCGGAGTCCAAGCGGCCCAGAGCCAAAGTTGGTCTTCGGCATCTTCACCTCAGCTCGCTCCACTCGCCCAAACTCCAAATGCACTTCTCCAATGCTCCAGGGCTTCACTATCAGAATTTCCTTTGCGTGCAAATAGTGAGCTTCACACTTTGACAAGGCCTCACGGCACCCAGAGACTGAAAAACACAAGACTCTCAGCTGATTTCGTTTGTATCGGTGATTCGTAAAAGTGTGAGTGAACGAATGGTCCTGTGTCACTGAGTTGCAAGCGCAAGCTGCAAGTCAAAATGGAGAAAGTTCTGGTTCACCAACTGACAATTGCCCGATATCAACGACGTAGCCGCTTCTTGGTTTTCTCTTCTTTGCAAGTAACTGCAAGTATTTGATCCACTCTGGTGCCTCCAAGCAAAGTCTAGAGCTTTCAATCATCAATCGACCAATACCTTTCCGGGACGTCACTGGCACTGACCACCTGCGAGAGAAAACACGGAATGAATTGGGTGACACAAATCGCAACATGCAAAAAGTTCCCAAGCATCGCCAAGGAAGATCGAGGAACCAAACACATCAACAAAGTGATACAACCATGGCAACCGTCCCCACAGCCACTTTTCTGGGCTTCCACGCGTCCACAAGCCTTCGGTTCCTTGAGGAAAACAAACAGAGAAAAAGAAAAACAGCCATCCATGCAAACCTCATGTGCAATGCAACGAAACCAAAAAAGAGCCTTTCAGATCCCCAAAAAAGAGTGAATGAACGACATAACGACATCTTGCCTGCGCAGTCTGACAGCACTGCGCGGCAACGGACTCCCTAGCGACCGATGCGCAGGCTCGGCGGAACCGCGACACCTTCCGTCTCTACCAGCAACGGTCGTAGAGTCGGAACCGAGGTTTTCATGCTTGAGTGCACTCTGATCTCTCCTCCAAACGCTCGGAGGGGCAGTCCTTGGATGCGACTTTTGCAAGGTTCAGTAGTAAAAACATGCAAAAAAAGAGAACGCTTGCAAGGTTTGGCTAGACATAGATCTGACAACTGCTCGACTCCAAACAAATGGCCTTGGCTGGTCCCAAGCAAAAACCGGTAAAGGGCAGCCTCCCAAGCGGATTCCGTGGCATACGCTAAAGATTTGACGTTTAGTAGTTTAGTCCAATTCACTGCAACATCTGCAACTCATGTGCCTCACATTTCCGGTCGACTCAATCTCTAGCTCCTCGAAGTAGTCAAAGTCTGCTTGGGGATGGGGAAATAATGCTTCTCTGCTTGATGCTGCACTTACCACAAACTCACTGTACCATCAAGATCTCCTGATTTCCGAACTCATTCTTGCAAGGAGCAGCTCCAACTTGGCCCCCGACCATGTCCTCAAAGATTGAAAGATTTGCACAAATGGCAAACAGCACTGGATGATTTCGGTCACGGAAAGACTTCTTTCTTTTGGGTGCCGTCCAATTCCACTGCAGTTTGCCGTCCAATTCTCAGGCGCGTGGACCACGACGTCTATGCCGCCAAACAACCTATGCCCCTGAATGGCTCACGCTATCACGCTCAACGTACACCCCCAGTCTTGAGCAAAGCAGGGTGCAAGAAGTTTCAGCCGGTTCACTGGGGCATGACTCATGGCATGACATCATCACAAGGGTAAACTCCCCAAACAGCAGCATGTGAAGGATTCCTTTGTATAGGGCGTGTTGTTCTGAAATGCCCTCTGGCACTTGGAACCTCGAAACCGCTGCCACAACTGTTGCGAACCATCGTCAACAGCAGTTTTGGAGTTTTGTTGTGCTTGGCATCACCAACACCGCATAACCACAGCATAGCTTCTTGTTACTACTAGTAAGGCACTTGTTACTAGAAGCGATGCACTTGTTCCTAG